TAATTGAAAACCTTTTGATTTAATATCATTCAACCTCTTAAAAGTTTATTCATTCTATGCTTCAGGTTGGCAGAGAAGCTTTCCAATTCACAATCCGAGATTCAAGTACTTCGTCAACAGTCACTGGCAATATCACCAACTGGGAAACCTTTGACTGCAAGACAAAGAACAATGATTGTTCCGGTAAAAGTTGGATATTATTAGTTCATTTCACATCCTCATATTGTAAGTACCATGCTTAGAGAAATATATCCTGAGTATTTGTTAATTAATTTGCAGAGGACACCCGGGAATGGAAATGTTATAAATGGAGAAACAAAGGTTCTATCGGTAAGGAATATCGTTGTTTGTGATAATGGAAAATGAATCTTTATAGGATATAAGATGTTCCATCAGTTATATTTTATTGCTTAATGCTTAGTATCTTCTCAGGACATGACTCTTGCCATATCAAATGTACGCGAGCCTGAATCCGAGGAAAAACCTCAGAAAAACCTCAATGAAAAGCAGCAGGTTAGTGGCCATCGAAATGGATGACACTTCTATTAAACTCAATGCTAGATCTTATCCGATAACTATTCATATTGATGTACCAGTACTGATTTATTGCTTGTAATCTTCCTTTTGTGTTTTAGGAGAACCAGGGCCTCCTGATCAAGTGTATATCACAAAATTTGGGATTTTCTGGGAGCAAACCAGTTGCTGCTTGTGTTATTTACAAATGTCTTCTTCACTGGAGGTCATTCGAAGTTGAAAAATCGACTGTTTTCGACCGCATCATTCAAACAATAGCTTCCTCCATAGAGGTAATCTATAGTTTGGCTTTTAAAGTTTTCTACATTATTAACCGAAACAACTGCGAAGCTGCAATCATCAGCGTCTTGTCGCTTTTCTTTCACATTTTTTCTCGGATGAAAAGAATATTATTAATAAGTCGTGTCTACCTTACTGAAGGTCCAGGGCAATAATGATGTCTTAGCGTATTGGTTATCCAATTCGTCAACGTTATTGCTGCTGCTTCAACGCACACTTAAAGCAAGTGGAGCTGCAAGTTTGACGCCACAAAGGCGAAGGGCATCATCAGCTTCACTCTTTGGGAGGATGTCTCAAGTAAGAAGCAATCATTTGTCTTACTGAAACTTTTCTCGCTTTCCATATATTTAATCAATTTTCTTTTCCTGCTTTCTAGGGACTACGTGGATCTCCCCAAAGTCCCGGCCTTTCGGTTCTTAGCAGTCGCGGGATTAGTAGGCTAGATGACTTAGGGCAAGTTGAGGCCAAGTACCCTGCATTACTGTTTAAGCAACAATTGACTGCCTTCCTGGAGAAGATATATGGAATGATAAGAGACAATCTAAAGAAAGAGATCTCTCCTCTGATTGGAATGTGTATTCAGGTCATTTCTACTTTTCGGTTCCTTTTCCAGTTTTTAAAATGAGAATATAAGATGTTTTTTTACGAGTTCTGTATGTGTCGTTCCATGGCTTATGAGGCTCGGTAACTTACAGCTACTACTTTCAGAAATTGCTTATTTATGGTGACTATTCGATGCAATTCAGGCTCCTAGAACATCGCGGGCAAGTATGGTTAAGGGACGTACTCAAGCAAATGCTGTTGTTCAGAAAGCTTTAATCGCTCATTGGCAAAGCATTGCGAAAAGCTTGAACCGTTATTTGGATATAATGAAAGCAAACCATGTAAGATACGGAACTTTGCATGAAAACAAAAATGGTAACGACATTTTTACTGATCTTATGAGTCCCGCTTTTCTGGTTCGAAGGTACCTCCTTTCTTAGCCCATAAAGTGTTCACTCAGATATTCTCATTCATTAACGTTCAGCTATTCAACAGGTATCTCTCTTCGTATCCCTTCGTGTTTTTGTTATATGAGAGTTAAAATTCATGATTAATTCGTGTTTCGTGCAGTCTTCTTTTGCGACGCGAGTGTTGCTCGTTCAGTAATGGGGAGTATGTGAAAGCTGGCTTGGCTGAATTAGAACAATGGTGCAATGAGGCAACTGAGGAAGTAAACTCTTGGCGATAGTTTCCGACTGTTATACCATTTAATTTCTTTTCGCTTGTTCCTTTACCTGAATTCTTCTTGTGGACAGTATGCAGGTTCGGCATGGGATGAACTGAAGCACATAAGACAGGCTATCGGATTCCTGGTTAGATTAACTTCATCACATTTCTAGTTCCGATAACGGTTTCTAATAACAATCTCATACAACTCACTGCCGATCCGTTTTTTCTCCGCAACTCAGGTTATTCATCAGAAACCGAAAAAGACCTTGGATGAAATAACGAAAGAGCTTTGCCCGGTAACATCCCTCTCTCTTCCGAATTCATCACAATACTTTTTCCTCCATTAAATCTTCAACTTTCTTTCTCGTGTTGCTGTTTCTTCAGGTACTAAGCATACAACAATTGTACCGAATCAGCACAATGTACTGGGACGACAAATACGGAACACATAGTGTGTCATCAGATGTAAGTCCAAACTCTCGAAATGCCTAACGTTAACATATACGGCCGGTGAAATACTAAACCTGCAAAATTTATCGACGAACTCTTCGTGATACAGGTCATTGCAAAAATGAGAGTTATGATGACCGAGGACTCCAACAATGCCGTTAGTAGTTCATTCCTATTAGACGACGACTCAAGGTAGTTTGTACCTCCTTTTCGCTTCGTGTGTAGACGAGTACTTAAACCCCCATACGTGCTTCATGGCTTTTACATGTACAATTCATATGTCGATGCAGCATCCCGTTCACGGTGGATGACATCTCCAAGTCCCTGCAACAAGTTGACATAGCCGACGTCGAACCTCCATTGTTGATTCGAGAAAACTCCGGGTTCGGTTTCTTACTTCCACGTTCAGATTGATCACTGTACTCATTTGTGCATATAACTACATCACTGTTTATTTAGCTTTCCTGATTTTCATTCTTTTCCCCATGTTCCAAAGACATGGGGGTATGTCTTAAGAAGCCATTTTCACCATTTTTGTGGTGATGTGCAAGAGAAATAGGTTGGTTTTCTGTCCAAAAAGGGTATTTTGGTCTTTCCATTTTTAATTTTTTTTTTAATTTTTTTATTTTTTTTAAATTGGGGGCAAGGGGCTCCTTTGGTTTTTTTTTTATTATTATTGAGGTTTACTTGGTTTTTTATTTTTTATTTTTTTGTGTAATTAACTACAGTTGTTGATTTGATAGGTTATGATTTGTTTGAGTTAATGGTGTAAATTCAAAATTTTCTTTTACTACTGAATGAATGATTGAGAACACAAAAGTGATCGGTAAGGGTACAAATGAACCGAATATCCGGTGAATTGTTCGTGAATTATTTATATAGCATTTATTTATGTCAGTTTGTTAAGTTAAATAAATAAGTATGAACAATTTTTTTATATTCATTTAATAAATGAATGAACACGAACAACATATTCGGTTTGTTTATGTTCAATAACAAACTCGTTTATCGAATCATTTATTTATGTTCATAATTAAACTCATTTATTTTTACTTTTTACGTTTTAAATTTCGGTGAATATAGGGATTAAATTGGACACAGTGAAATTTGAAGTTTAAACTATGAAGATCCTAGAGTTTAAGTACTACTGGTGTAATTTTACCATTAACATGCAAATTCAAATGGAAGTTGAATTTGGTCAAAACATTTACATCTATTCTTTTTTTATTAATATAAGGTAAGTATTCGAGTCTTAAAGAAATAATAATCTTTTTTTTAACTATAGAGGTTACTTAATCCGTACATATAACAAACATTAAATGAATATATTCATGAATATTTAATGAATATGATAGCGAATATTAAACAAACATATTGAATTATATTTTAAATTAAATTCAAATTTAATTATATAACAATATTTGATCAAATTAATACAATAAATTTTGATTCGAGCTCGAGATTTACTCTATTCAAGCTCGACCCTACTAGTGGTTGTGGTATCATAAATTAGTCATTCCATTAAGGCAACATCGTTGTTATATAGTTTATGATATTTAGCCACATTTAAGTCTTTTAATTGATTATGTTAGAAATAATAAATTTATTCAAATTCGATGAATTTTGATTAAAATTAATTTTATAGGTCAAATTTGATTAAAGTTGAGATAAATCAAATTCAAGTGTAAAGTAAAAAATAAAAAAGAATTGAAGCAAAATCCCTTGTAAAATATGATAAAGATAAATACTCTCATTTTATTTTATTTTTTTTAGGTAAAAAGGCATAAGAGATCTCTGTATTTAAAAAAATAATATAGCTCGCGTATTTTTTTAATATAAAACTCTAATCGATAAAATAAACTCAATATTAACCTTTAATCAACGTTTATCGTCATTGACCGTTATAATGTTGACGTGACAGTTCACGATGCTGACATAGCAGTCCACGGTATTGAAGTGACAGTCCATTTTAGTTGATAACGTGACGAATGGCATGACATATGACATAAATTGGTAACTCAAACATTACAGTTGAACTGTTACGTCAATATTGTGGACCATCACGTCGGTGAACTGCCACATCAGTATTGTAACGGTCAACGATGGAAAACGTTGGTTAAAATGTCACATTAGGTTTGTTTTCTAAGTAGGGTCAAATTGAGAGCAGAAAATAATACAAGGGTATACTGATTTTTTTCAAAAGTATAAGGACCTCTGATGTCTTTTTACAATTTTTTAACATAGTGGAGGGGACTAAAAGCATGATTATATGAAGAGAAAGATAAACCACCAAATCATATTAAAGCTACGTTTGAATTAAGTTGACATTCTTTCGATGATTAATAGTCTTTAACAGATCACTTTTAAATTTTATAGGAACTAAATTATAAATTCCTAAGAGAACCAATTTAACCAATTTTAAAATTGAGAGGACGTAAAAGGTATTTACACCATTCATTATTCTAAATTCCAATTCCTTAACCACTAGAACGATACCGCGTAAAAGACCCAAACCAAAAGTCGGTATTCCCTTCGCTGCACAGCGATAAATCCTCCTTGAAGAAGCAATCTCCTTCCCAAATACAACCATAAACCCCCCTTTTTTTCATCAGATCGGGTCATTGAAGCATCCTCCGATTCATTTTCAGGCACTTTTTCCCGTAGTATCGATTAAACATGAGCTTCCTCTTTGGCAAGAGAAAAACTCCTGCAGGTATCTGTTTTTGCTTTCTTTTTTAATTTAGTCATTAAAGTTTTTATTAAGGGGAAAAAGGGTCTACGATTCTCGTTTAGATCGTTAAGGATTTGGATGTGTAAAGTGATCCCCGATAAGGATTTTAGTAGTTGGATAATATTCGTGATTCTCATTCAACTAGCAATTTTATTGTAGAAATCGTTCAAAGTATTTGCGCTATATGTTTATTTGGTTTTGTTCTGGATGATAAGATCGATAATTTTCTGAGTTCTTTGTTCATATTTGTTTCGATTTTAATTTTTTTTTTCAAGTTGATTATGTGTAAATTCCATGTTGTGTTTTCTGAAAAGATGCAAGTTTAAAGTGTAGGTGTGTCCTCAAGCATTTTGAATGGTTAAATGGTTGTTTTATTCATATTTATTTCAATTTTTTATTAATGTCGAAAAAAACAGTCTATGAATTTCGTTTCGATGGTCACCTTTGGATTTCGTAAAGTGATTCCTGATGAGGGTTCTAGTAATTGGATAATATACATTATTAAAGTAGGAGTTGATTGTATTCTGCTGACGATTATTTGTGGAGATAGACTATTTTTTCCTATAATTCTATTATAATTCAAAATGTTGATATGTAATGCTAATATTATGTTAATTTTAGAAATTAGTCTGAATTTTGTTAAGGGTTACATTTTTCTGGTTTAGTTTTGTATAATAAGATTGTTTGCACAGTTGTTTATATTTGTAGTTGATTTCATATTGAGATGTCGGATAATATAATGGTTTTTGGGTTCAGAGCTTCTGCGGGAAAATAAGAGGATGATTGACAAGTCTATCAGAGAGATAGAGAGGGAGAGGCAAGGTCTTCAGAACCAAGAGAAGAAACTGATTGCAGAGATAAAGAAAAGTGCAAAGCAAGGGCAGATGGTGAATTATTTTTTCTACATGAATACTGTTACTTTTTTTTTTTGCCGAGTTTTCGTGTATGTGTTATTATATTCTGCTTTTAAGTAGAATATATTGGATCAAGTGCTTACCTGCTGGAAAATTTTATTTGAAGGCAATTTTGAGAAAAAATATTTCTGGTTTTTGGTATACATGAAGTTGCTTTATTGGTGATTTAATGTTAACCTGACTTGACCAGTGCTTGATTATTCTGTTTTATGTGTTCTTAGTGTTTTGAAGGATTAGTTTGATTTATTTGACAACCACTTTCACAGAGACATTACCATTTCAAGAAAAAGTTGAAGTGCTTTGTTCTTCTTCCCGATTTTTAAATAAAATGCACAAGTATATGTGTTAGAGTTTGCAATTCTTTTTATCATTTTGCTGCTTGATTATGTGTGCGTGTGTGTTGTTTGATATTAGTCAAGCGATGTGGTCACAAGTTTCTCATTGTGCTTCAATATTGTATTTTCCATCCGTCTTATTGCGGAAACTTGGTTTCTTATAACTACTAAACATTTTAAAGCTATTATACATGATCTGTGTATCTTGTTCAACATGAATCGGCTTTCATACCCACCTAGTCTATATCCTCCAAATGGCTTTACTGATGGAAACTTATTTCAGGGAGCTGTAAAGGTGATGGCGAAAGACCTTATCCGAACACGACATCAGATTGAAAAGTTTTATAAGCTTAAATCACAGCTCCAAGGCGTATCTCTTCGAATTCAAGTATGTTCTTTTGTCTGTACATTTTATCTCACAATTCCCCCCCTCCCCCCCCCCCCCCACAACACAAAAAAAACCCACCAAAGTGTGTACAGGTTTCTTGTAACGCTTGTAAAGTACTTGAAAGTCACTACCCATAACAATTGAGGGGGCATTATAGGAAGTTTTGAAATATGGCCTGCTCTACATGTAGTAATAAATTTGACTATTTTGTTTGACAAATTGTAAAATGAACATAGCGTTAAAGATCAATATAGCTCTATTCTCCATATAATTACTTGGGGGGGGTAAATATTTGAGCTGTCGCCAATTATGATGAAAAGAAACATTTTTGCTTCCGGTTGTATGGCAGAGGATAAAATTGTTTGAGTTGGCTGACATTTATGTATCTGAAGTCATTTGCAATCTTTGATTTTATTGCGTATGTAAAGTTTCAAGCTTGACTAATTTTCTATACTACTTCAGACATTGAAATCGACACAAGCGATGGGAGAAGCAATGAAAGGTGTGGCAAAGGCAATGGGCCAGATGAACAGACAGATGAACTTGCCGTCGTTGCAGAAAATCATGCAAGAATTCGAGATGCAGAACGAGAAGATGGAGATGGTTAGTGAGGTAATGGGTGATGCAGTTGATGATGCTTTGGAAGGGGATGAGGAAGAAGAGGAAACAGAAGAACTTGTCAGTCAAGTTCTTGATGAGATTGGGGTCAATATCAATCAAGAGGTGACATTTTCACCATTTGTATCTATTGCCATAATTATCTTATTATGATGTACTTACTCTGCTTATCTCGATCCAATTCACAGCTTGTCAATGCACCATCATCGGCTGTTTCAGCACCAGCTTCAAAGGGTAAGGTTGCTGCGCAGGCAGAAGCAACTGGGAACGACGACGGTGGGATAGATGGTGACTTACAGGCAAGGCTAGACAATTTGAGAAGGATGTAGCAAGTATGCCTTATTACTTCTGTATAATATATGAACATTCCCTCCTTGGTGGAAGGCAAAAATACATTTGAATTGTAACATCTTGGAAACCCGTGCGAGAGTTTATCGAGTCAAGATTTGGAAACACACGGAAACTACATTAAATTACTTTTTCCTTTTTGTAAATTTCTACATGCTTTGGTAGTAAATAGGCTATGATGAATTGATTCTATTTGTATGCATGTCCCGTTGCCTCATTTCGAATTTAAATGCATCATCAACAGTAACTGTTGAGTCTGTTTAGCCGGAGGAGATAGAACTAGTATTCTCATGTTCTGGTCAACTTGTATGGTATTATTCCCCCTGCATTTTTTCGTTTTAAGGTCGGTTTTGTTCAGATTTTTACTTAACTGCACCTCCGAGCTTTGCCCCTACATAACTTGCATTGCAGTATTTGCAGCACATTGTTAGCACCCACCATAGTTATAACTAGCTTTGTCTCCTCATATGTTGCTTAAACACTTCATTTTTCCTGAAATAGATGCGTCTAACACTCGTGTCTGACTCATGAATACGAGAAAATGAACTGCAATTATTGGTTTTAGAAGGAAGGTCTTACAGTGTAGTATGTACAAAATGGGAAGCGAGCTATAATCTATGTCCCCACTTAGAGCTCTGAAATGTATCCATCGAGGCAGCATCAAGATGGAAAGAATGCTTGCACCTATGCAGCTGCCTAAATTCATCTCCGACTGAACTGATAAAACAAACCGCGTGTTCATATTATCCACCCGTGTCTCCGGACCCCGAGTACTTGAAGCTCGAAAGCATCTTCCTGCTCTGGTTTTCGAAACTCCTGCCGGTTGGAGTAATCTGCAATTGTAACACAATTCAATATCTAAACTGTCATAAATGCCGTCGGAGTTGGATGATTTCGAACCGTAAAGGGTTCGACCGAGCATAGACATGCCTATCTTTGTCGTTAACTATTTCCCACCATCGAGTACCTCCATTTACAAATATAAAACAGGACTGAGTGCAAAAAACCCAAACCTTCTTTAGACGTTGCTAAAGTCCAAATCGAGTCCGAAACCTTTTGTGCAGAAGATGAACAAAATCTTCACTTAATTTGGGTTCAAGACCTAGATTATCTATGCAAGGGGAGAAAATCGAATCAACTGAATCATAATTTTTTGAGCAACTATTGCACTATCATTGTTGTTATTCAATAATAAAAGTGATCAAAATTTAATTTACTTGAATTTGGTGTTACAGCCATTTTGATAATTTAGCCTTGAATTAATTAAAATATATTAAAATCTCTCCTTAAAATCGATTCATATTAGTTCAATTAACATGTTCCTATCATAATATAGAGAAAGGAATTACTAACAATTATCAGCAGACACAAATCTCATATAATAAGAAATCCTTCAATAAAATTATAAAGCAATAACTTCTTAGTATAACAAAATTTGAAAACCACCAAAGGAACTATCCAGCAGAGGTCATTTTAAAGGCAAAAACATACTCCAAAAATCAACTAGATGATTATAACAGTCGTCAGCATTAAGCCACCACCGGAGGAAGTTCGATCTCAGTCGGCACAACAGGCTGTTCGACCCTAATAACTTCATCCTCCTTAGGAGGGTGGATTGTGACAAGATCCGGGAGGGGAGTTGTAGGGCCTTGCTTACCCTTGGGATCCCAGTCGAGCATGATTTTCACCTTTATACCAAGCACTCCCTGTGTTCAAAACAGATGAATTGAATGAGAAAAGGCAATCAATGGAGGGCATATAGTCGAGTAAGTAAACGAACGACAAACCTGTCTCAAAAGAACATGGCGGACGGCGGAGTCGATATACTCATTCACTGGATGACCAGAAGAAATCATATATCCATCTTTGAACTTCATAGATTTGGCACGCTGTGCCCTTAGCTTTCCACTAACAATAACCTGTAGCAAATGAAAGTGATGGTACAATTCTTAGCATAATCAAACCCTATAAAACCAGGAATGTCATAATGCCCGACATCCACCGTGGTACAAACCTCACAGCCCTTAGCACCACTCTCCATGACGAATCTAAGCACACCATAGCAGGCCCTGTGCAAACCATCACACAACATGCAGCTTTGAATACACAAATAAGAATTGACAAATTGATGTCATATACGAAATTGTATCCTCCAAAACGTTACTGTAAGAAAACCATTTGACTTCATACATGATGATGGTAATGGAGGATTGGATCAATCTTGTCATCTTCCGACACAAAATCGGTATAAGAATAACCTATTTGCTTTATAGATGACAAAATCTAGAGTCAAAGAAAGTGATGAACCGGCTAAAATAAAAACAAACAAATGCAACCATTCATTTTGAAATTACATACACACTATCAGTCCATTTAACATCTATGAACACATAGGATTTGCAAAACAAATTCAATATCACATCGGATAATCAAGATTGAAAAACGTTAAGATGTACCCTCCCAAATGGTAATGTATGAAAACCGTTGGATCAATCTGGTTCATCTTCCAACACAAAATCAGTAAAACAAATTTGCTTTGTGGATGACAAGATCCAGAACGAAAATGTCATGGAGAAACCGACTAAACAAAAACACAAACAAATGAAAGAATTCATTTTGTAAACAGATTATATACACATACAATATACATTCCATATCACAATGGAAAATTAAAAAGTAAGAAAATTTCAACATTGTTCCTTGCACTAATGTTACTGCATGAAAATGAAATGCATTTCAGCAGGCATTAACAAAACAGAGGAAATATCATCATCTAATTGCTGTTGTCACCTTCCGACACAAGAATTGGTAGCGAATTACCAATCTGCTTTGTAGATGACAAAATCTAGAAACAAAATGTCAAGGACAAACTAACTAAACAAAAACACCAACAACTATAGGCATTCATTTTGAAAACACATCATATACACATACAAAATACAATCCATATCACAAAGGAAAATTAAAAAATAAGAAAAATCAACATTGTTCCCTGCACTAAGGCTACTGCCTGGAAATGAAATGGATTTCAGCAGGCATTAACGAAGCAGAGGAATATAATCTAATTACTGTTGTCACCTTCCGACACAGAATTGATATCGAAATACCAATCTGCTTTGTAGATGACATTGAATAACTAACCCTAATCATTAAAATCTATTCCATGTATTACAGAAATCAAATAAGTACAGCATCAACATGCATTAAATATGTATAAACAATTCGATTACGAGTATATACCTTCGAACAGCGAGGCCTCCAAGAAGCTTATATCGAAGGGACTCAGCCTGAGCAATGGCGCAAAGGCCTCTGTTGTTGACCTTCTCGGCGTAAAGCTCGACACTGTTTTCAGGGAACTTGAATCGCTTTTGAACCACAGAGGTTAGCTCCCTAATCCTCCTTCCTTTCTCACCTATAATCCCCAATTAACCACACATTAAAATACCCAGATTTAAAAGGAAAATCCCATCACCATAAAGTAAGATTCTTAAGGAAAAATACCAAGAACATTTTGGGTGCGAGTCGCTCTGATGATGATCTCAGTGCGCATGGGAGTAACTCTAACTTCGACCCCAGAGTATCCATCCTCGGCCAGTTCCCTGGTCAAGACCTCATTGAGTTCCGCGAAGAAGACTCCATCGGCGACGAACTGAAAACATGGAAAATAATGAAAATTCAATAAAAACGAATTGGAGAAATATGGAAGAAATGGAAGAAGAAGAAGAAAGGAAGGTTGAATAAAATACCTTTCTCTTTTTGCTGATTTGAGCAGCGGCAGCCATGTTTGTTTCTAGGGTTTAGGTGGAAGAAGCTAAAATGCAGATATCTGAAGAAGGCTGAAGCTTGCAAACCCTAAAAAGTGGGGATAGAAAAGGCCTAAGGTGTAGCAAAATATAGTAATTTGTGGCTAGGGTTTTTTCATGTTGAATGGGCCTTCTTTTAGGGTTTCTCGATTGCATGGATTTAGGGCTAAGATAAACTGCCCAATTACTCTAAAAGATTATTCACTAGGGGTGTTTATCGAACGAGTTAGACAATACTCGTTCAAAATTTTTATTGCTCGATCGTTGTTCGTTAAGATTGTTAAAATCTTGTTCAACTCGTGCTCGTTGAAAAAAATTATTATTCGATTCATTGATCATTAAACTCACTAAAATGTTATCATATTTTTTAAAGGGTAAACTACACATTTAGTATATAAATCAATTTTGATTTGTTTTCTTACTTAAACTTTTAATTTTTTTTCCAAAATCATACCTAACATTTAGTTTTCATTTCATTTTAGTATCCCCTCCGTTAAAAACTTAACGCTTTAGTACCTAAACGATCAGTTTTGGTTTGTTTTAGTAACTAAACTTTAAAAAAATTCAAAACTTAACAACAAATTTTGAATCGGAGTTTTAAAATGAAACAAAAACTAAAATTTTTAACTACAAGATACTAAAATGAAACAAAAACTAAACTTTAAGTATGATTTTAAAAATTAAAAGTTTAGTTGCTAAACGCGTAATTTACTCATTTTTAAACTATAAGTAAAATCTACTAATACTATATATAGCTTAACAATTCACAAATACAACAAACTAGTACATTAGTATATTAATATATTAGAACAAATATTACCACTTGTAAGCACCCTAGATTAATAAAAATAAATAAATTGTACATACTTCACCCGACCCGACCCGACCGAAAAATATATGTCTTTCACCTGACCCGAACCCGATCCGATTTTTTGAGATAAAATATGAACTCGACCCGACCCAACCCGGAATAATTTTTATTCAATAAAAATAGTGATTTAATTGAAAAAAATAACATATAGAGGGGTATTGTTGTAATTATTCCTAAATATATAAGGTGAAATTAATTTTTTTGGGTCTGGTCGGGTCAGGTATTTTTCACCCTAAACCCGAATCCGACCCGACCCGAACATCACCTTTTAAAAAACCCAACCTGACCCGAATCCAATTTTTTTTTAAAAAAAATGACCCGTTCGGTTCGAATCTAGTAGGAACCTATCGGGTTCGAGTTCCCTAATTAATAGATTATAACAAATACTACCACTTGTAAGTACCCTAGATTAATAAAAATAAATAAATTATTAGATTAATAAATTATAATAATTATTAGTTAGTAATTTATCATATTTCTTATTATCTAGTAAATTAGTAATTATTATTTAGACTTTCTTTTTTTTGAGTGGAATAATTTTTAAAGTAATTACTAAGAAATTATAAAAAAAAAATTAACGAACTACTCACAAATTTATTGAGTCAAATTAGACCTTATTCGATTCAACTTGTTAAGGTCTTGAGTCAAACTCGAGTTTAAATCGAGTCAACTCAAGTTAAATATTAATCAAATTTTGACAAAATCAAATTCGAGCAGCTCACAATCTGTTTAACTCATTAAATACTCCCTGTCAATCACAATTTCAAGTTTTTGTCTTTTGATATTTTCAACTTTAAATTTTTTGTGTTTTTTAAAAGAAATCCCTAAAAGTGTGATGAATTCTCATTAATTTTTTATATCATTTATATCTAATTTATTAATTAATTAATTTAAATCAAATATTACAAATATTTATTATGAGAGCTGTATTTATTTATTTATTTATACATGCATTGCATTTTATCTTTATTTTTAATTTTTTGACTGCCGTAGGTCTTCCACGGAAACTGCTCTCAACCTAGCGTTGGGGGCAGCCTACTACCCTACCTCCCCTTACCCCATTGCATATGAGAATAATGTTTTGTTGTTGTTGTTGTTGTATTTATTATGAGAGCGATCCTTCTAACATAGTTTTATTTTATGAACTAATAAAATTATTTTAAAAATCTTTTGTTTTATAATAAATCCCCTTTGTTGTTAGAGGACTGAGTTTGCAATTATTGAAATGACCCAACTCGCTGAGTTGATATCAATAGGCGAAAACTAATGAACTCAACACCCATTTATGAACCAAAACAACAGAAGACAGAACACAAGTATGACTTGGAAATGTCCGGTCACTCGCACCAACAGAATGGTTCCATAATTTTCTCCGAATCCGATCTTCACGACGACGTGCACCGCTCGTTCGATCTTCTATACGTTAATTCCATCAAAAAGTTTCTGCCGTCGCGGTTCTTGCCTCTCACCTGCACGGGTTTCACACATGATATGGAGTCTAGCCATATCTCGATCAGGTCGTTTAGTGTTAAGTCCGGGACCAACGGATAACCGAAACACAACTTCTACCTGCATTCAAAGTGTATGCTCGAGTATTTGAAAACAGAATCGAGTGATTATCCCAGATCGTATATCGGTATGCGTACGACATTACCTCAGATTCATGTTCGAGGTTTAGCTTCCTTGCAAGGTACTCGTTCACAAAGGATACCGCTAGATCTCCATTCCTGAATCATTGCAGACATACATTAACTCAAATCCGGAATCCCCGTTAAGTACTCGGATTCGGAAAAACGTTTAAACTTCCTCGGTATGGATAAATGGCTTCGGCATCGGAGGCAATGCCATGTCTTTCCTGAAAGAAACAGAGGAAAACTTAGTAACTCAGAGCAAGAAAAGCATCAAAAGGCTTAGTCATTCAAATGTTTCTTACTTTTCTTGAGACGCAAGCAAATAAAACCAGACAGGGCGTCGAGAATAACCAGGATGTCGATTAGATATATGGTTTCGAGGCATAGATTAGTCAAATTCACTGACTTCCCAAGACCAGTTGCGTCAAGTTTTGACATCTCATTCGCGGCGTCAATCTTCAAATCGTCCTCTCCTTGGCCTGCAAGCAATCTGCAGGGCTTTCTCATTGTCCTCCTCCTCTTAACTTGTAATGCAGAAAGCATAAATGAAAAATGGGGACTCAAAAGAGAATTCGAAATCTTTAAAGAGAAACACGAAAGCACTGAACCCAACATCGACGGTTACTTAATGATTTGTATGCAGAGATACGAACCTAAAATTTTAATATTAAATGATAAAGTTTTAAATTTTAAATTTTAAAATATATTATTAATAAAAATATATATTAAATTTACAATAATTTTAAATTTTTAGAGATACGATTATGTTATTCTTGACCTTCTTTTATTTATTTACCAAATTTGAACATTAAATGATAGTTTAAATTCGTATGAAATATATTTAAAATTTAAGATTTAGAATTTATGGTATGAAATATATTTAGAGTTTAAGATTTAAAGTTTAGAAATTAAATATGATGTAAACTATATTTAGGGTTCATTGTTTAACGTTCAACCAATATTTAAGCAACATCATACGTCGGTTTAGATACTAATCAGAGTCTCACAAGTGTGGAGTTGGATGTTAATATGCTGATATATATCGTTTAAGATTCTGATATTAGATTTTATCATCATCCAGTCAGCATGTTAGTGTCCATCTCATAATATCGTCATTTTTTAACGAAAAATGATGAGTTTAGAACATAATGAATAATTGAGTGATCATTTCGTAACTTAATAGTCGAGGGATTTAACAAAACAACATCTTATATATCATTTTGTAACTTTTAATAGTCAAATATCTCAACAAAACGACTTCTTATAATTGTGATCATTTGTGTATAGGGATGGACACGGGACCCGAACCCGATCGGGTCGGATTTTAAAAAATTAGGGGTCAGGCTTGGGTTTAAGATAAAAAAATATCCGATCCGACCCAAAAAAAATTATTTTACCTTATATATTTTAAAAATAATTATAATAATACCCCCTATATATTATTATTTTTCAATTAAATTCATATTTTTATTAATAAAAAATAATATTTTATAAAAATATATTATTTTGGTTTAGATCAGACCAAATTTTAATTTTATCTTGAAAAATCAAATCATATTCAAATCAAATAAAAAATATATTTTTCAGATCAATCCGGATTAATTGAAACACGACCGGTGCCCATCCTATTTGTATATTTCACCCTAGTAAAAAATTTTAAAAAATAGAGTACGGACAGTAATAATCGAATAATTTGCGGATAAAATATGTCACATGCTATGTGTCTAAATCCACACGTGTTCTTCACCACCAACAAAACCAAGACCCCATAGTCCAAACCAAATCCTCATCTCTTTCCTTGCAATTCAACCACAGAATTCTGCAAAGCTGCAGCAGTTTCTCTCTATGGTTAGTCTCAGCTTCTCATTTCCAGAAATGGGTTTGTGTTGTTTTGATTTATTTTTATGTTTATTTTAGAGATTAATGCTAATGTTGTTTTTGGATTCTGGAATTTGTTTAAATTTTGATCCCGTTTTATGTTCTGAGCTGCAATTTTTATGGAGATTCATCTTGATATGATATCATATTTTAATGCTAATGTTGGTTTTTGGATTCTGGAATTTGTTTAAATGTTGATCGATTTTATGTTGTGAGCTGTATTTGTATGGAAATTCATGCCGATATGATATCAGATTTGGCAGGTAGAGTTTTGATGCTGTGTTTGAAACCCCACTCTTTATTTTCTTTTCCATTTTCCCGCACTTTCTCGTCTCCCAAACACCTCAAAAGTCCTTTCGTTTCATCCGCCAAAGCCTCGAAATCTTCGATCACCATGTCCATTGTTGAGCACGTAGTGCTTTTCAAGGTAAAAGATTACACTGACCAGACGAAGGTCAACTCGATGGTCAATGGACTCAACAGCTTGGCATTTCTCGATCCCGTCCTCCATCTCACCGTCGGTCCCGTCTTCCGTACGAGGTCTCCGATCTCCGATTTCACACACATGCTCCATTGCCGGTACAAGTCCAAAGAAGGCTTGAGCGCGTATTCGGCACATCCCGAGCATGTCCGTGTTGTCAAGGAGAACGTCCTCCCCATTTGCGACGATGTCATGGCCGTCGATTGGGT